CAAGTCACGTGGCTGCACCTAACTAGAAGGAAAATGTAGTCCATCTATATGCCCTGGAAACTAAGAAAATGGGATTTAGTGAACATTTGACAGTCTCTGTCACAACATCACTCGAACAAGATGTAAAGTTCTGAGAATGGTCCTCTGATGGCCAAGTGTAGGTTGCATGTTAACCTACTGGCCATATGAGAAATAAAATACAGGAAGAATCTATCCTTCTTTACTTCCATGGTGAGAGGAGGCAGTAGGAGGCAGAGGAATGCCCTCACAAGGAAGAATTTCCCTTAAAGGGGGATCAGGGCGCTTTGAAACTGGGGAAACTTGGTTGCCGAAAAATAACAAGTGTCCAGTCTATCTGTAATCTGCATGGGTTAAATAAAGTCCTTAAGGGCTTTTCTTAGCTTTAATAGTTTATGATTTGGGTGAAAGAACTAAAAATATATAAAAATGTCCAGACATTTCTAATGAGAACAGTAGCCCTCTCTGAGCCCTAAGGGCCTCCCTCACTTTCATAAAAGCAAGTAATTCACAGAACAAGATAGTATTTGTCAATGTATGGGAAAATGTTAGTGGTAGAACCATATAGTCTAAGAAAAGTATGATTCAGTAACATAACATGTTAAAATAGAAAACAGCCCAAGAAGGTCATGACGTTAAAATATTTTTTCTAGGTTTGCCACTATTGGGTTAGCCAAAAAGTTTGTTGGTTTTTTTCCATAAGATAGCTCTAGTAGCACTTGGTTGTTTTTAACTTCATTTGCACCAATTTTGTTATATTGTATTGTGAAAGCTGTCATATCAGCATGCACTTAAAAAATTAAAATTGGTGAATTTTTGTGTAGCCATGTTAATACTAAAGATGGAAGAATGCACAAGATTTTCAGCATATTATGCTTTATTATTTCAAGAAAGGTAAAAATGCAACTGAAACACAAGAAAATATTTCTGCAATGTATGGAGAAGATGCTGTGACTGATTGAACATGTCAAAAGTGGTTTGCCAAGGTTCGAGCTGGAGATTTCTTGCGGGACAATGTTCCACAGTTGTGTAGACCAGTTGAAGTTGGTACCAATCAAATGGAGACCATTTGAGAACAATCAACATTATACCATGCGGGAGATAGCTGACATACTTGTTAGGTAGGGCAGATAGTAAATCAAAGCAGGGAAGTGGAAGGAGACATGTCTCACCCACTAACTCAGCAGTCCTGAGCCTGGCCTAGTAGTATTGCCAGGTGTTGCAACATCACAAGAAACACCATGTTAACACCTTGAAATTCTATGTATTGTTTCCACTATCTGGGAAAGAAAGCCTTTGAAACTATGTATTCATCCCTAGGTCTAGGAGAGAGAAAAGGAGAGGGTCCACAGTGCCCAAAGGAAAAGCCCATACAACACCTTTGGTTAATTGCCTACCTCTGGTCATTAACTGTTTTACCAGGGAGTCCCTAGTGCTTACAGAAAGAGCCCATAAATAACTTTAGGTAATTGCCTCAACTTTAATCAACTTCTTCCTGTCATGTATCTGTTTTACAACAAGATATTCAAACCTAGTCTGGAGCAAGATAAAAATTCAGGCTAACAGACCCTCACACATACCTATGTTTGGGTAGTTGCGTCCCCCCAGGGAAGCTGCCACCACCTTTACTCGTCAGTCAATATATAATTTCTTCACCCCCATCCCACCAACTATGTAAGTCCTCAAGACAAAGGACCTGATACCCTTGCCACTCTTGCCTTTTGCTGCCCTTACCTTGCCCTGCTCTGAATCTATATCTTTTAACTCTGACCTCAGCAAGGCCAGTGCTCTTCCAAGAGAATGTATCAAAGACAAACCTTGCTTACATGCTAATAGACTTGCTGACCTGTAATTCTTTACTGCATCAGCAAGGCAAGAAGAACTGAGTTTCTCCTGTAACATACTCAAAATATCCAAATCAATAAAGTTATTGGTGAAAATGAAAGATATGTCTTATTTTATGGAAAAACCCATACAGACTTTTTGGCCAACCCAATACTAAAAGAGACCTAATGGTAATGCAGAACCCCCAGCCTATGCTGTTCTGGAACAGCTGTGAGGTCCAATTGCACACCACCAAGAAGCATGACTCCCAATGCCAGAGTTTGGTGAAGAGGAAAGGATAATTTTTTAAGATTTTTATTTACTTATTTTAGGGAGAGGGGAAGGGAGGGAGAAAGAGGGAGAGAAACATCAATGTGTGGTTGCCTCTTGTGCGCCCCCAACTGGGGACCTGGCCTGCAACCCAGGCATGTGCCCTGACTGAGAATGGAACTGACAACCCTTTGATTCACAGGCCAGCACTCAATCCACTGAGCTACACCACCTAGGGCAAGGAATTGTTTATTTAAAAGTTATGCAGATTTAGAATAATGGCAGAATTCTACCATTAAGTCCCATTCCCTTTAAAACACACACACACACACACACACACACACTCACACTCCTGCCTCCCTTTGCAAATCAGGCCAGTTTCAGAATATGCCAGTCAGAGGCACCATCTTTTAGGAAAACAGAAGTCTGTGGCTCAGCACTCCCGGTCATAGTTCAGTATCCCAGGCATCTTCCATTAATCCATGCTTGGCTGGGCAAGTCCTGCAATTCCCAGAACCATCATCCATATTGCCCTGTTCCCCAGGCAGGTTTCTCAGCGGTTCTTCTCTTTCTTTTTCCTGCTCTTAATCCAAAACCACATGGCACCTCCTTGTGCATCAGACCTCATGGTGGGCTGGAGGTGGCCCTTTTACACCCTTTCAAACTGCATCACATGGCTGCCCACCCTTAGTTTTAAATACCAACCCAAAGCTTCCTGCATGACCTCATTGCCAACTCCTCTCACAATGAGCTATATTTGCCAATTCTCCTGTATTGTGTATATAGTGATTTGGCTGCCATCCCACTCAGGGCAAACATGACTCAGTGATCCAGGGGCCTCTACCTCCCCTGGCTACTTGACAAGTCAGGATACACCCTTAAAGTCAAGTGCATGCCTTTTGCACCTTTTGCACCTTTTGTCCCAGGGCAGTAGCACAGTTTCCCTTCAGGGAAGATGCCGCTATCCACAGGCCATTGTTATGAAAAGTATCATCTGCTTCTCCCCTTCTCTCCAACCATGAGCTGTGAGAGAACATGCTCTGTACCCTGTTTCAATAGTTTTGCCCTACATTAGTTCTCAGGTAGACTCCTAAAGCCTAAAATAAATGAACAGGTATGAATTTTAGGGCTTATTCAGGTATGGAGGAAACTTTTTCGTGGCCAATTTACATCCAAATCTGAGACCTCATGCTTCTACAGTGGCAGAAAATTTAATCTGCCACTGTTAGCATTCCCAAGAAGATTGACACCAGAGGTAGGTATAGGGCCCAGGGTGGTTCTCACCTGCCACTAATGCATCATGGAGGCTTTGCAGCTATTGGCTCAATAGTCATCTGGTTACCTCAGAGATGGCCATTGACCGGTCTGCGTGTTATCACTGGGACCTTGGGGCATGAGCATCTTCAGCAAGGATACAACTTCTTTTTTCGTTTTGAAATTTTTTAAAATTTATTTTTAAAGAGAGAGACAAACACTTGATTTGTTGTTCCAGTTATTTATGCATTCATTGGTTGATTCTTGTATGTGCCCTGCCTGACCTGGGGATCGAACCTGGCCCAGGAAAGGATACAACTTCTTTTTTATTTTTATTTTTATTTTTATTTTTTCACTTTCCTGAACTTTATTAAAGAAAAAGCAATGATGGCAGATCTCTACAACATGGTCAATTTTCTGGGATTCTTCCCTTGAAAATGTGATGTGTGATTGCAAAACACATGGTTTAAGTAGGTGAGAGGCTGAAATCCTAAAATGTTCATCTTCCAACTTTCCCCAGTTTGTGATCTGTCTTTGGATTGGCAATAATTGCCTGAACAGCTACTATGGCTTCATTAATTTTTGTCTGTAGCTCCCTGAGCTCTACTATATGTAGCAATTGCAGAATTTGAGCAGCTTCATTAAGAACTGCATCTCCTGTGTCAAAATCAAGAATATGCTTGTCTAAAGTAACAGGCAGTCCCTCTTTTGTTTGATTTGCTTTACAATTGCATCCTGTGTCAGGCACTCCTGGACCAAATGCACATTACCAGGTAATCATCATGACACTGTATCTGAAGGTTAGCCAAAACCATTACACCAGCCTTAAAAATCAGGATTTACATCCAAATTGATCAGTGGTTCTGCATTTTCACCTGCATTGTCAGCATTTTTTATTATCACATACTGAGTCCTTGTATTTTTTCAGCATTATCTCCATATTCAAGTCTAACAGCTAAACCAAGAAGCCAGTCAATTGCGTCTTGTCCATCTTGAATCATGAAAGGACAGTTAACATCTGTGAATACTTTGCAGTTGAAGGCGGCAGGTAGTGGAGAGCTGTCAGCTTGCTTCCAAACAGGGTCCTGGCTTCTTGCTCTTCAGCCTGGAGAGGAGAGGCGCAAGGCAGGAGGGACAGGCACCCAGGATGTGGCAAGAGGGCAGGCAAGTGCCTGGACGCTCAGAAATCAAGGACACAACTTCTTATGCTCAGGATCAAGCTTTTTCCTATTAGTGCTGCCGAAGAACATACGGTGCAGGTCCCCGCAAGTCACACAACTATAAATAGACCGTCTACATCTTCCTAACTTTCTGAAATCTTTTCTTCCTTGGTCTTCTCTAAGGCACCTCCTTGTCTCCTCAAACAGCACATACACCCATGAATATACACTCTATCCTTGAATATTTGCATAATTTTTTCAATCAGATTGATTTTTACAGAACATAAGACCAGCTCTTGACTTCCAAGATTTTGTTCCTACCCAAAGCCCTGATTCAAGGATGCAAGGCGGGAAAAGTACATAGCAAATGATAAAAATTAATATACCCAAAACTAGATAACTGGGACCAGGATTTAATCTTTTTTTATGGTGTTCCCTGCCCCACCCCACCCCCAGTCCTGTTATCAGAAGCAATCAGGTGGACCCACCACTCTGGTTCTCCTAAAGTTGATACACAAAAGCTAGGGTCTGTCTCTCATTGATATTTTTAACTTGTAAGACCACTCATTTATTAGAAGCAGGAGCCTGCACATTTCATAGGCTGACCTGCTTTATCCTGATTAGTGAGACAAATTTTATTAACCTATAAATGAAAATGTATCTTTTTGTGAGGCACTACCTTTGCTAGACAGGACTATTGGCTGCAAATGACGGAAAACGAAGTCAAAGTAGGCTAAAAACTAGAGAATCTATTGGCTCACATAATTTGGAAGATCAAGAGTTGGATATCACAAATGGCTGGATCAAGGAGGGGAGGTGTCAAAACTGTCGTATACAAGCAGAATCTGAGTACTCCATCTCTCAGGTATTGTGATTAGGTCAGTGGTCAGTGATGGTCATTTGATGGAGTTAGCACCTTGCTGAGATTTCTCCCCACCCCCAAATCACCAGGAAATAGACTTCTATATCCAGTGAAAACATCCTTCAGGAATGGAAGTAAAATAAAAACATTGTTAGAGGAGGAAAATGAAAATAATTTCTCGCCAACAGACTTGCTCTAAAAGAATTGCTAAAGGAAGTTCATCAGATAGATGGCAAATGATATCTGAAGGAAACCTGGAGTTTCAAGGACGGAAATGGTAAATATCTGGGTAAACATATAGACTATTCTTCACCTCTTGAGTTCTTTTTAAAATATTTGATAATTGACAACAAAAATTGTAACACTGTTTGATGGGGTTTACAATTTGAATACATATGACAAGTATAACATAAAACATAGGGAGAAGAGAGGGATGGGCTGGGATGGGAGTAAAAGACAGAGAACTGTACTTGAACAACAATTAAATAAAAATAAATAAATAAAATAAAATAAAAATTAAAAAACGTAGGGAGAAGATATATGCACTTACATGGGAATAAAAATTTGACTTGAAATGGTCAAATATCGATTCTAGGTGGACTATGAAAAGTTACTTATATTTATCGTGATCCCTAGAGCAACCACTAAAAATAATATACAAAGAGATATGGTCAGAAATGCAATAGATAAATTAAAATGGAATACTAAAATGTGTTCAAATTAGCCAAAAGAAGACATGAAAAGGGAACAAACGGAATAGAGAACAGATAATAAAATGGTATACCTAATGTCTGTGTACCATAGTATGAAGGCAAGGATAACTGTTGGAGAAGGTAACTTCGGTTTCCAGTCCCGTACAACAGGTCCTTAAATAATGTTTTATTATAAAGTTGATGACATGCCTTGATGACATACCTAACACTTGCTTGTATCGATTAACCTAAGGTAAAGCTGACTTCATCATACTTCACTTCGTGGAACATTGCACAACCTATCGGTGATAACTGAGGACTAAGTGTATTCAACATCACCAAAGCGTCTGAAATGGTCAATTAACTGCAGAGGCTATTTTGGGACCATAGCAGTAAGGATCAGGAGGTCCTTTTGGCGTGGACATCGCGTTGACATGGGCCTCATATTTAGACTTTTCATAGTATCTCTAGTAGTATGGTCAAAGACAGGATTGCAATTAGTTCATCATTCAACTTGGTATACCTTACAGTCTATTATGGCTCAACAGTACATTTATTTGACCCTACACTTAAATATAATTTAAAATCTACCATAATTTTTACCACACAGTTTGGGATTATTTTAATTTAAAATACTATGAGCTCCCCCAAATGGAAGAAGCCTGAACCCCCTATCTCTGCGAATAATTCCTTTTACTGGGGCTTTATTGTGTACCTGACACTTTACTTCCCAAGCCTACGAGTAGGCACTATAATTATCCCAGTTTCAGGGAAGAAGAGACGGGGATTTACAGAAGTTGCCAACAGAGCCAACTCTTGAACCCAGGGAATCTAACTGCCCTGCCTGAGGACTGAATCAACGCCCAAATTTGGTTGCCACCTAGGTAAGCCTTCAACGGTTAAGATCCCCCCCGAGGCCCTAACTCCCCGCCCCTCACCCGCCTCAGTTCTTTTCCCCACGTCGCCCTTCCTAACGTCGGGATAGGAGCCCCCGCCGCCGGCTGCGCTGCGCATGCTCGGCCGCAGAGCACTGCGGGAAAGGGGCTGGGCCTGCGCGGCCTTCCCGTCCCATCGAAGTTCCTGTGAGAAACCTCGCGTGGTAAGCATGCCGGAGTGTAGTTAGTAAGCCTTAGTCCTGGCTCTCGTTTCGGTCTTTATTTCTGTCCCAGGGATGGACGGAGAGTTCCGCCTGTGGAAGGGAGGAGACAGCAGCACGTAGGGCAGGGTTTCCAGAGGCGCTGCCGCGCGTGCGGGTACAGCCGTTAGGGAGGTCGGAAATTCGGAGGTCGGGGCACGGCTTGTGTTTGTGGTGGCCTTTATCCTAATCGATTCGGGGCCTCCTTGCCCCCTACTTGCAGCGTTTCTCGCCTCCTAGGGCTTGTGCGTCCTAACTGGGCTTTCAGTTTTTAGTCTCCGCGGTTCCCGTTTCTCAAATGTTAATGTGATAACACTTGTGGCTTCATTAAGTAATGATTTTATTCATTCTTCAAAACCTGGGGCTCCTTTTGCCAATTAAATTATACACGGGATCTCAGCTAAAAAAACAAGTAATTACTTGAAAGTTTGACTCTTGATGAATTCGGACTTGAAATAGAACTAGATACAGGTGCAATCTTTATCACTTTATTTCATTATCTTGCTTTAGTGTACAGGATTGAGAGTATCTTGGTTTGGAGTGGACCAGTGTTTGCAAACGAAAACTTGTTCAGCTTTCCCAGGAGGCATAGTGGCATACTTTTCAATTAAAAGCTGGAAAGTAGATAAGTGGAAAATTTGCTCTTAAGAGGTGGATCACCAATAACATCTGACAATTACTTGTATTCCTCATCACAAATTTGTAAAACAAGAAGCCCTTAAAATTGGTAACAAGAACTAAATTACAACACTTTGCCCATTTAACTTCTAGGTTGAGGCAAGAGCATTAAAGGAGTAGATGTTCTTGCTCAATAGTGAATTTGCTTCTAGGGTTTTCTGTGTGTGCAAAGGGATAGGTGCAAAGCTACAGCTTTCCTCATCAATGACATAGCTACAGGAAATTGAACTATGTTTACCCAATATGGCAGGAAAAGCTATTTCCCGAAGGTCTGTTAATCTAATGCAAATTATTTCTTTGGATATCTTCAAAAATACTTGACATTTGGTATATAACATATTAAGTATATCATGATTTTATTAGTTTTGTTAAAGTAATTTTTTATTTAAAAATTAATTATAAATGAAATATTTGCTGAACCTTAAAAGCTATTTACGAGATTAATTTCAAAATTTTTGTTGTCCAGAGTCCTTCCTGATACAATCCGTCTGCTTCTCCAACTTCATTTCCTTCCACTACCACTTTTGCATTTTATCTCCAACAGTAACTCCACTCCTTATAGTTCCCATATACTTGTGCTTTTGCACATGCTGCCCCCATTATTGCTTCACAGAAACCTGCTTTAAAACCTAGCTGAAATTCACCTTCTAGAAGACTTTGACCATCTTCTCTTTCCTCGTTTCTGATTTATACGCTTAGCACTTACACTGTTGCAATTTTAATACTGTGCTAGCCAGGGCATTATGAGTGTAGAGGCATCCTAACCCCAGTACCAAGGCACTTCATAGCGACTCTTGTTGCCTACAAAACTAAGCATGGACATTTTAATATAATTTGAAGACCATTTAGTCTCAGTCATTTTATTTTTGCTTGTTTCCATAGAGGACACCACCTTCATTATTGTAGCTTTATAGTAAGTACTCAACTTTTTTCTTTTTTGAGGTTGTCTTGGCAACTCCAAGTTCTGTATACATTCTGTACACGTTAGAATCTTGAAAATTCCACAAAAACTCCTGCTAGTATTTGGATGTAAAGTTAGTTCAATTTAGGGAAAACTGACTAGTAAGATTAAGTCAGTCAATGAGCATGCTGTCACTCTCCAGTCATTTAGATCTTCCTTAATTTCAGCATTATTTTGTTTTCAGTGTAGAGGTCTTGACATTTAATTTGGTTTATTACTGCATTTCATTAGATTTATTCCTGTATTATTTTATGGTGCTATAGAAAATAGTTATTTTTTAAAAGATTTTATTTATTTTTAGAGAGGGGGAAGCAAGGGAGAAAGAGGGACAGAAACATCAGTGTGTGGTTGCCTCTCACACTCCCCCAGCTGGGGATCCAGCCCACAACCCAGGCATGTGCCCTGACTGGGAATCAAACCAGAGATCCTTTGGTTTGCAGGCTGGCATTCAATCCACTGAGCCACACCAGCCAAGGCTATTTATTCCTTTTCAAGATTTATATCTTTTTATTTTTTTTTCCTTGCATTATTGACCCGTATAGAACCTCTAGTACAATGGTGAAGAGAAATAAAGTTTTTAAACATTGACCTTGTATTAACATGATCTTGCTAAATTCTAGTAGTTTTGTTTTGTTTTAATTCTATTTGTTATTGGGAGAAAAGGCATTCCTTAGGGTATGGCCCCCTGGTGTCTCAACTGAAAGTCCAGGTCTCTACCAAGGTTCCTTTACTAGGCTTAATTCAACTGTTTTTAGCTCTGCAAAGCTACTATAATCTCTTCTCAGCTCTTTAGCCTCCCAGCTGCTATTTTCTGCTAGGTCTTTGGGATTAGTAGAAATGCAGTTTAGGAGTCAGCTAATTAGTGAAGGAGGAGGATATTTGTATGCAAACTTGGAGGCTTCCTCTGGTTCCCTCACCTCCCAGATTGTGCCTCTGGAATTCCAACTGCTTTGGCAACCCAGAACTCCTGTCTCCTTAGCTCATTATACTGTTTTCATTTTGGGCTTTTTCCTCTACTCTGTCCTGAAAAGTGTCCTCAGGGGTAAAGCCTATTACATAACTATTTTTAGTGAGAAGGTTTAGCATGCCAGGCTACTCTGTTAAGCCTAAATTTAACAGTTTTATCAATCTGATAAAATCTGGAGCTGAGTTGGTTTAACCACTGAGTAGAATTTGAATAGGCAAAAATGACTTGTAGGTTGAAGAACAGTGTGAGCACAAGTGTAGTGGGGAGGAATTAAAAGATTAAGGTAAAGTGGTTTGAAGCATCAGGTTAACATAAACAATACTGTGCTAATTTTCCAGGAGTGTGTACATTCCCTCTGGACGTCTGTTTGTGTCTGGAAGTAACTCCTAATAGCTTGTAATTTCTTTGAGGCCTCATGTTTAACTTTAAAAATTAATGTGAATTTTGTTTTCTTCTCCATGACATATCCTATGTGTGTGTGAGAGACAGACAGACAGACAGACAGACAGACTTATCCCTCTTTTGTTTAAAGATCTCTAGGACTTCAAAGTGCATCTGGAACAGGAAGTCATGGATTTGTTTTTCAAACATGTTTTTTGCTTTGTTTTTCTAATAGCTAAAGAAATGTTTTGTAACACTTTCCCGTGCCTCGGGAACATATTTTATATTCATTAATTACATTTTTGGGTGCTGTCCATTATTTATCTGTTTGTGAGATGACTGCCACATTTGAAGTGATTCCAAGTTGCCAAAACTCATTGATACTTTCTTTTTAATTGATGTTTAGACTTGCATAGCATATTTACTTTTAGGTGAATAGAATCTACTTAATGACAACCTAGTAATTAATTTCCAAGCCATTTTGCTTTGTTGGTTATGTGTAATTCTCAAGCGGGCTAGGCAGTGGCCATAGGAGCTTTTATTGCACCTCATAGTCAGATCTTATTTTAATTTTCTACCTTGGGCTAGGAGCTTTGAGTAGAAACAGGGTAAGTGGTTGAGTCCCAACCTCAAAAATAAAAGACAATGGAAAAATTTCTTAGGTTTTTCTTGTACTAACTCAGAATAAAACCATAGACCTGGAGTTACTCCTGTAAGAACTATTCATATCTATTTTAGTTAGCTTCTGCCCTCCATCATCATGAATTGTAAAGCCTGTTCAGAAAAGAGTATGTTTGTCTTGGGGGGGTGATCAAGGAAGGGGAATCCAGACTTGTACTCTGCAGCCAAGTAAGGGTAGAAGGAAGGGCAAGAGTTCTAAAGGATTTACAAAGTTAGCAGCTACCAGAAAAGTAGAAAGTAGATCTCAATTAAGAAAAAAGAATACAAGGGACCGTTCTGTCCTTGAAACAGAGGTGTGGGGCTGGGCAATCAAAAGTTTCTCTTGAAGTTCCTAAAATATTACAAAATGGAATTATTTTCGACCCCTGAATGTGAGTTTGGATTTTAGCTATTTACCAAATAGGAATCCATTGATCTAGGAGGGTTGTTTCACAGGCATGAGGTGTGATGGGAAAATAGATTTAAGACATATTTAGGAGGTATATTTGATCCAGTTTGGTGATTAATGTGGAGACTGGGAATTTAGGCTTACCCCTAGATTTCTGGTTTGGGAAATTAGGTGTATATGATAGTATGTTTACCAAGAAAGGGGCCATGTATGAAGCAGGTCAATGGGGATAATATAAAAGTATGATTTTTAATTTCTTGAATTTGATGAACCTGTGAAAAATCTAATGGAGGTATTTAATAGGCGGTTAAGTATATAGGCTGGAGTTCAGGGATGTATGGGGAAACTAGCCTACAGGTGTTAGTCGAATTCAAGGTTGTACCCATAGAGCAAGTGAGAAGAGCCCTGGGTATCAAGAAGTGTCCAAACCTTCAGAGAATTTTTATAAAGGATTATATGAGCCAAACCAATGGCATGTGCTGAGGCGCAAGATCTCACATGCTCTGGAGAACCCTGGCTGATGTGGCTCAGTTGTTTGGAGCACTGTCTGTGAACTGAAAGGCTGCAGGTTCAATTCCTGGTTAGGGCACATGCTTGGGTTCTGGGTTTGGTCCCAGTCAGGGTGCCTGAAGGAGGCAACCATGTTTCTCTCCTCTCTCTTTCTCCCTTCTCTTCCCTCTAAAATCAGTGAGCATGTCCTTGGGTGAGGATACAAAAAAAAAAAAACAAATGCTTTAGAGAGTAACCATTTTGAAGTTTCTTTTTATACATTTGAAATCAAGGAGGGAATGAAATTACATAAAGGTCAGAGAAAGCAAGGCTGGGGTTGAATTAAAGGATAGTTAATATTATTAGCTATCTTGAGGGTGGTTACATTTTAGGAAGAGGAGTCTAAGAGGGGGCATTTCGGCCCTGACTAGTGCAGCTTGGGTTAGGTGTCAACCTGCAAACCAAAAGGTCACTGCCTGATTCCCAGTCAGGGCACATCCCTGGGTTGTGGGCCAGGTCCCCTGTTTGGGGGATGTGAGAGGCAACAGCCTACCAATCTTTCTCTCCCCCACTTTCTTTCTCCCTTCCCCTCTCTCTAAAAAAATAAATTTGTAAGTAAATAGTAGCATTTCAAATGTGTGTTAAACTAGATGCACATAGACAATGAGCAGGGTTTTCTTAAGACAAACACTTATAGGTTGGGGTGTGACTACCCACCATGACCCGCCCAGTTAGGAATTTATGATCAGATCACTGTGTGAAATTACTTTCCATAAAACCCTCTTTTTTAAATTTTTCAAAAAATTTTTAATTTTAGACAGGGGAAGGGAGGGAGGAAAAGAGGGAGAGAAACATCAATGTGTGGTTGTCTCTCGAGTGCCCCCAAGTGGGGACCTGGCCCGCAACCCAGGCATGTACCCTGAGACTGGGAACCCAACTGGCAACCTTTTGGTTTGCAGGCTGGCACTCAGTCCACTGAGCCACATCAGCCAAGGCAAAAAAAAAAACCCTTTTTTCAAAAAGAAAATATTTACTGATTTGAGAGAGAGCGAGAGGGAGAGTCAGAGTCAGAGTCAGCTGCCAGCCCCTGGGAAAAGAAGTGGGTGAAGAAAGTCTCTGGTGTGCTCAGTGGAAAGAGCCTAGTGATGGGTCCTCCGTCCTGAGGGCTTTATCTGGGGTCTCCTGGGAGGATCTCAATACAATATTCATCGGCTTTCCTGGTATGTCTCCTCAGGGTCGTGGTCCACTGATTTATCAGCACTAAGGTAGTGGGTCAGTAGTCATTGCAGCTGGTCCTGATGTCAGGCATGGTGTCACTCTGCCTGGTTTTGCTGCTTTTTCTGCTTTTCTGGGACTGGAGCTGAAATGCAGCTGAGTCCCAGATGTCATCTCCTGGGCTTAATGTTTAAGGGAGTGCTCGTGCAGGGCTTCTAGTTTTGCCCATTGCTAGGGGTTCTAGCCACCCTGGGGTCCTTTTCCACCCCTGAAGACCCTCTGTACCTGGCCATCCTTCCTGCTCTGCTCATGCCTATCTAACTACCTACTATACTTACAGAAAATTACTGTATTTAAAAGAACTAATTTTAAAATCAGCACTTGTCTTCAATTTATATTTTATTTTAGGTATCTGAAAACTGTTCCTCAAGAAGAAAACCATTAGTTTGGAACTGGAGGAGTCGTTTACATCAAGTACTCAAATGAAAGAATCACCAACAGAGATTGAATGTGACAAGGCAGCAGCACCACAGTTGCTGCAGCCTGACAAAATTAAGACAGAACCTGACAATGTTCAGGTACTTTGTCCTTTTTCTACAGCATCATTGAATTATAAGTTTTAATTACTGGTATTTAGATAGTGGTTTATTGGTTGAAAGCTTTTAATGCTGTTAAGAATTTAAATACCAAAGCAGTTGATCAAATAATACAAGGTACAGTGGTGTTCAGTGCCAAAACTAAGTATATGCAAGAATGTGATTTGAGAGAAGAGTAAGCTGTTTGGAATTGGGTATTTGTATGGATAAAAGGATTGCTTAGGATATCATGGGCCTAAGGTTAAAACATTTTTTTAATCATTTTAATTTTTTAATACAGTTGACATGTATTATATTGCTTTCAGGTGTATAGCCCAGTGATTAGACATTACATAACTAAGTGATCATCTCGGTAAATCTTGCACCCCTCTGACACTACACATAGTTATTAGAATATTATTGACTATATCCCCTATGGTGTACTTTACATCCCCATGACTATTCTGAACAACCTCTTTGAATTGTACTTCTTATTCTTCTTTTTAATTATATTTTGTTTACACTATTACAGTTTTCCCACTTTTTTCCACCTTTTCCCTTCTCCACCCAGTCCCCACTCCCTCAGGCCCATGTTGCCATGTCAGTGGGTCATGTATATATATTCTTTGGCTAATCCCTTCACTTTCTTTCATTATGTACCCCCCTCTGGGCTTCCCCCCCTCCCCGACAGTTGTTGGTCTGTATGCCTCTTATTCTATTTTGCTCATTAGTTTATTTTGTTCATTACCAATTGTACTTCTTAATCCCTTCACATTTTTCACCCATCACCCCAGTCCCCCTTCCATCTGGCAACTGTCAAAATGTTCTCTGTATCTATGAATCTGTTTCTGTTCTACTTGTTTATTTTGTTTTTTAGATTCAATTATTGATAGATACATATTTATTGTCATTTTTATTTATGGTTTTTATCTTTTTCTTAAAGAAGATTCTTTAACATGTCTTATAGTACTGGTTTGGTAGTGATGAACTCCTTTCACTTTTTCTTATTTGGGAAACTCTTAATCTGACTTTTGATTCTAAGTGTCCAGGTCCTTGCTTTTCATCACTTTGAATATTTCTTGCCAATCCTTTCTAGCCTACAAAATTTCTGTTGAGAAATCAGCTGATAGTCTTATGGGAGCTTCCTTGTAGGTAACTAACTACTTTTCTCTTGCTGCTTTTAAAATTTCTCCTTGACCCTAGCTGGGTAGCTCCATTAGAGCATCATCCCGTTACATCAAGGTTATAAATTTGATCCCCAGTCAGGACCTATACAAGAATCAACCAGTGAATACATAAATAAGTGGAACAACAAATCAATGTTTTTCTTCCTTCATTTCTTTCTTCCTCTTCTCCAATTCTACCAATAACTAATTATGTTTTTTTATTGTATTTTATTTATTAAAGATTTTATTTTTTAGAGAGGGGAAGGGAGGGGGAAAGAGAGGGAGAGAAACATCAATGTGTGGTTGCCTCCTGTGCACCCCACCAGAGACCTGACCTGCAACCCAGTCATGTGCCCTAGACTGGGAATTGAACCGGCAACCCCTTGATTCGTAGGCCAGCACTCAACCACTAAGCCACACCAGCCAGGGCCAGATTTTATTTATTTTTAAGAGAGAGGGGAAGGGAGAGAGAGAGAGCAAGAGAAACATCGATTGGTTGCACCTCACACACCCCCAGCTGGGGACTTGACCTATAACCCAGGCATGTGCCCTGAACCAGCAACTTTTTGGTTTCAGGCTGGTGCTCAATCCACTGAGCCACACCAGCCAGGGCACTAATTATGTTTTTATGCTACTGCCTCTATTAAGTTGTAGAATAAATAAGTTTTTAATTTTAGAATTATTTCCTTTATAATTTTTTAATACAAATTAGTTTTATGTTTTTATTTTTAAGCTTAGATATTGCATGCTAAAACTATAAAGGATTAATTGATTCAAGGTATGAGTATTCTTTAAGTAGGGCCAAATTTCTGTGGAATATTTGCATATTAAATTTAGCTGAAATTTCTAATGAATCAAAAAATAAATTCAGTTTTAATTTATTTCTACTATTCTGCTTAGAAATACCCTAAAGCGAATCAGTATCCAGCAAGGCTGTAACCTCCCATTGAGTTGTAACAGTGTGGAATGTTGTCTATCTAGGAAGTATCTGTTGCATTTTCAATCCATACATTCAAAAACATAGATCAAGTTTAGATAGATTGCCTGCTGCTATGAAAAAAAATCCTCCCTTGTGAAACTCATTCTGCCCAATCTAACAATTTTTGTGTTCAAGGCCTTTATAAAGACAAGTAACCAAAGTCACACTTAGATACGCAGAAAACAATGAGGTGGTTGATTGGTATTATTAGCCAAATGTCACCAAAAGGGGACTGCTTACCTATGTACTATGGTTCAATTGTTATACAATTCACTGAATAGATTTAAGCATAATTTATCATTTTCAATCAAATAAGTAGTTGTTTAAAACACATTGTATTCATTATTTTCAATTTTTTTTTTTTTAGGAGTATTGTCAAGCCCAACAGTCTCAAACTAAGGAGAATGAACAGAAAATAAACACTACATTTTCAGACAGTGGTAATAGAATTATTTAAGTTGATCATGTTTATTCTGACCAATTGATAGACAGTTTATTCTACTTTTTTAGAATGCCTTTGAATAGTGCATTGTATTGAGTTTTAAGTCCAGAAGTAACCTCTAAAGTAAAATGAAAGAATGCATGCTTAATTTTATGAAAATACTGATTCTTTTCCTTCTTGTATTGTGTTTATAGCTTCACAGTCGACTACAGACACTCAACCTTCTCTGGCATCATCTGGCATGAACAAAATGCTTCCTTCAGTTTCAACCACAGCTGTTCAGGTTTCCTGTTCTGGTTGTAAGAAAGTTCTCCAGAAGGGGCAGACTGCTTATCAAAGAAAAGGGTCCACTCAGCTTTTCTGCTCCACACTGTGCATCACTGAATACATTTCATCTGCCAGTACACCAGCTCTTCCCAAGAGAACTTGTGCAAACTGCTCAAAGTATATAATTCTAAATTATGCCTCCTTTCATACTTTCCTACCTAGATCTTGATCAGAGTCTTGGCTGTAGTTTTCTACATTTTCATCTTACTCTGAAGAAGTATCACCTTGGTTCAGGGAAAAGAAGTTGCTGCTGCTTTCAGTTCCTCTAATTCTTTAGAAATAGTTTGTTGTTCATTGAGAGATTTGCAGAATTTAAAATATAAGTTCTATTTCTCTTCTGTAAATAGTGTGACCTCCAAAGCTTATTTTCCTGGGTTTTTTTTTGGGGGGGGGGGGGTTTCATTTGAAATTTTCTATCAGTGGGATTATTGTATTCCCATTTTATCATTTAACTGTGTATGGAACGACCTACTTAAAAAATCATACAACAATTATTTTGGATCTTCCAGGGTATAAAAATTGTTTCTTTTGCAATGGTAAATGAAGTTATTTAATTATTTTGAGAAACTGAATAGTCATGGGTATACATAGATGGATGGATATAATTCTCTCAAGATTTCTGTGAGCTATTGTTGTGGTCTTAGTTGTTTCTTTTTCTTTTTTTTTTTTTACATATGTAAGTCATTTTAGATACAGAGAAAGAAACGAGTAGTAATTTCATAATGAATTCATGAAAAGTGTCTCAAAATATCTTATTGCACTGTACTCATCCTTGTGATGATGCAGTGACACTGGGTAATGAAACCGTGGGAAGTGAAACCTTGCATAAGCAGGGAGGGGGGACTGCTGTAATGCTGAAGTTTAAAAAGTATCAAGAACTTATTTGTTAATAGTCCCATCTGTTTTGTTAAATGTATATAAGAATTATGAATATTAAATAATATACTTTGTGATCAGCACAGTACTGGCTGTTGTAAGAACTCGTAAATGTTAGCTATCACTATTTTTATCTTAACAGACTCACAAACTCTTTAATGGTTGCTTCAGTTCCTCATTTGGCTACTGCTTCAGGTCTTATCTATTACTTGAAGTCTTACTCCCTGGAACTTAACTTACCTTTCTCTTGTCCTTTTTCAACCCTTTAATCCTATACTTTGTCTTTTTCCTTTTTTGCTATGGGCTGTATGGCACTCTTTTTAGCCTGCTTTCTTCTGCAGAATCATAAAACTGGAAGGGACCTTGGAGATCAACCAGTCCAGACATTTTCTTTTGATTTTGAGGAAATAGAGGCCCTGAGAAGTCAAGGTATCATGTTGCTATGTTTGCAGTTTACCCATTATACATTTTTAGCAGATTTCCCAAACAAATTGAAAAGGCTGAAGCAAGAAGGATTTTAGTGTATAAGTTATTTTCTAAGGCAAAGGAGTTGAGTATGAGCAAAAATATGAAAGAAGTTTTGCTTTCTTTGGAATAAATTTTTTTTTATATAAAATACTATTTTATTGGTGGTAGTAATACCTAGGCTAGGAGAGGCCATCCATTGTTGGGGGAACCTGTGCCACTTTCAAAACCTTTTTTTTATTCCATATTCATTAACCTCTTGAGAACTATAGTTCCCAAGATTTTAGCTAATTATTGTTACTGTTGAGGTTTTGTAGCAATGATTTAAAATCTACATTGAGTTTATAAAATTTACATTTCATGAACAAGATGAAAAATAGCTTTGAAAATGACATTTTAAATCATGTTAGAAAGATAAGGTTTTTTTGAGAGCCATGTATGTAAGAAGTATCATTTCTGCCCTTTCATGTCCCAGTTGGAACCAGTTAGAGATCTTGAGAGCAATCAATAGAGTTTGAAATAACCCCATGCACTAATGCTGATAGCATTTATTTGTAGGAAAGTTGTTCAGACCTATGCTGTTTGTTTAAGCTAATTTTAGTCACTTTTAACAAAAATCACTTTTTTTTAATCCCCACCTAAGGACATTTTGTTTTTCATTGCTTTCGGAGAGAGAGAGGAGGGGAGGGAGTAGGGGGAGAGGGAGAAAGAGAGGAGAGAGAGAGAAATATCAATGTGAGAGAGAAACAATTGCCTTCTAGTAGCATCCTGGCCAGAGGTTGAACTCGCAGTCGGTATATGTGCCCTGGCCAGGAATCGAGCCCACAGCCCTTCAGTCTATGGCATGATACTCCAACCAACTGAGCCACACTGGCCAGAGCCAAAATTTACTTTTCGAGTTTTTATTTATAAGGCTTTAGTTCAAAGCCAGCAATCTAGTGTACTAACAGCAGCATAAACCAGTAAGCATTTCCAGAGTTCCATACTTCTATCAATGCAGTTTCTTCTGCCTCCTTTCGAACCAGGTTAATTTTGTGTCTTAAAAACCTGCCTCAAATATCTTTACCTCTTGTCTATTCTCACATCATTCCTTCCTCTTTTACTTCCCTACACCCATCCGGATTAATTGTTCCGTGCTGTTTTCATAGTGTTCATAACTTCCAAAGCATTCCTCTAAAAATTGACACTACCCAGTTTATTTTTCCCCTAGCAACAATTACTGTATTTATTCAAAATTTTAAAAAAATTTTCTATTACCATTTAGTCCCCTTGTACCCCCTACACTATCCAGTTTAGAAGATGAACTTCTTAACATTAGGGACTGGATTATAGTAATCTTTATATCCCCAAGGGCTAAACACTGCTTGGCACACAGTGAATCCTAGAATTTTCTGTCATGAAGTACAAGGATAGCACAACTCCAACTGCATTTAGAGCTATATTTTAAACCAGTAAAATGAATGATGATGTGTTAATGAAATTAACCTGTTATTTTTGGTACCATCTGTTTAAGAAGGTAGAAAATCATGCATAGTACACTAAAACTTTGTAAGTGTTGAAGTATGAAAATAGTGTTCATTTTAGGGGCGTTTTCATCTGAAAAATTATTGTCCTGAAATACTGATATTCTGGGGTTCTAGCTGGCAAGGTATGTTGGTATTTTCTCTAGTGGCAGTTCCTAGATTTTCTGGTCTCTAGATCCCTTTACACACTTGAAAATTAGGAAGACCCAAAGCGTTTTAGTTTTAGATAGGTTGTATCTACCAATATATACTGTGTTAGAAATTAAAACCAAGAAATTTTAAAACTGTTTAGTTAACTTCTTTAAAATAAACTCAGTGCATATTGACATATTTTTATGAAAAATAGCCATATTTTAAAAAATTTATTGAGAAAAATTCTAAGAATAATTCAGTGACCATTGTTTTTATCACTTTTACAAAATTGGCTGAGTTTTCATATCTACTTCTGTATGCAGTGTGTTGTAAAATACCATTTTGGCTGAAGTCAGAAGAGAATCTGGCCTTAAACTGTAACTGGAAAAGGGAGGTACAGTCTACTAGGCTTTCAGATTAATTGTGAATGCTCTTTTGATACAACATCAGAAAACAAGTGTTAGTTGTAATGTGTAATCTGAAACCATAGCAATGAAGTTTTTGTACTGTTAAAATAAAATTCATTGGTCTACAGGGTCCGGCACAACTAACACCACCCTTCAATTACAAAATCTTTTATCACAAAACCATAAGCATGTAATTCTGTAACAACAATATCACACTCAAGCACACCATATGGCATTTTAGGAGAAATGTTCAAATTAAAACTATAAATTATTGCACTATTATTACCCTACTAACCACACTCAAACAGGCCTTATTTCTGCTGGACCCTGTATTTGTACTTTGGATTTTTTTACCCATAAATGATTTTTGCTATATCATCGGAAAATACTGGGTCACTGAATTATGCAGATCTTCCTAATGTTGATGTATTTCATTATGCAATATTTTTTTAAATCTTTTTTTAAAAGATATTCTGGGGGTTCTAGAATCACTAATCTCATCAGGAAAGTCTTAAGTGATAAGGGAACAAGTAAGCTGGAGGTGGCAGATATTTTTCCAAAATTCTTATTTTCAGTGAAAGCTCAAATTTTATCATTGGCAGTGAATACTGCCAGTTTTTTGTTGTTGTTGTTTTGAAGTAATAGTTTTACTTTATTCATTGTTGAGAAAATATCTGCCAGGTATAAACTTCTTAATAGTTTGTCTAATTGTTCTTTCAAGTAAAAAATGGGTTTCATGGAAAAAGTAGCTAACTTAGGTTGTAACTCTTAACATTACCACGTGTGGTTTTCCTTGAGACAGCCATCATCCTTGGGTGCACAGGGATAACCCTATGTCCCATTTCATCACACAGAATATTTAAAAGATGTGATGTATTCAAGGATCAAGTTTCATAATGCAAATAATTTTTACAGCAAGAGCTTGGCAGTGATAACACTGGTACTGGCACATTTGTGCCAGTGCCTTAATTTGTGCTAAGGCTCTGGCATCTTTACCCACCTCTGCTTTTTTTTTATTTCCTCCCAACTTACTGAGGTGAAATTCACACGACAAAAGACCATTTCGGTAGGATTTAGTACATGACAGTGTTGTACAACTACCACCTCTAGTTACAAAATCTTTGTCAACCAAAGTAAAATGCCTTATGCATTAGGTAGTTTCTCCCCATTTCCCTCTCCTTTCCCCTCAGCCCCTGGCAACCACTAACCTGCGTTCTATCTATGGATTTACCTGTTCTGGATATTTGAAATCCTGCATGTGATCTTTTAAGAGCCTGGATTTTTTCCCTTAACATGTTTTTCAGATTCATCTGTGTTGTAGCATGTATATCAGTACTTTGTTCATTTTTATAGCTAAATAATATTCCACTGTGTGAATACACTATAGTTTGTTCATCTTTTCATTATTGATGAACATTTGGGCTAACTATAGTGAATAGTGCTGTTACAAACATGCATGTACATATACTTTTTTAGGTACTTATTTTCGATTCTTGGGGATATAAACCTAGGCATGGAATCACAGGGGCCCACTATTGCTTTTGGATCATGAGTTAAAATGTCCAGTGAAAAAGTAAAAAATACCTTAATGTGAAATAGTTTTGATCTTGTGGATTCCCCAAAAATATTTGGGGATCCCAGGGATATGCAGACCATACTTTGAAATCTTCTGTCCCATAGATCTCAAAGTTGGTCAGGTATGACTATGTGAGTTGTCATCATTTTATTATCTCTAGCACCAACTAATGCAGGTTAGGTAATTAACCTTAGAGCTGCACTATCAGATGTGTTTTATAATTCCTACTTCATAGACTAGTAAATTAACATTTAGGGAGTGTAAATGACATAAGTAAAAGAACTGGATACCAAATTCAGGCTTTCTAATTTCAAGGCTAATATTGTTATTACTATTTCACAGTTTTTTGGGTGAAAGAAACAATAGGGGAGAGGGTTGTTGGAGGGGGTGATTTTTAGCTTATGAAGAGAAACTATAATTATGGTAAAAATGTTTCATGGTGCTCTTGTTATTTATTTTTGTTAGAGACATTTTAAACCTAAAGGATGTGATCAGTGTCCAGCTGGAAGATACTGCCTCTAGCAAAAATTTTTGCAGCCAGTCTTGTCTAAGAAAACTCTCTGTTATGCTATATACTGACAGCGTTTCAACTAAATGCAGCATGTGTCAGAAGACTACTCTTGTAAGTTGCATTTTGTTAACCTGTAGGGACTCTGCTTAAATACCAGAATTTTCACTGAATCTTTTTTTTTATCCTAGGTTCAGTATGAAATAAAATATCAGAATGTGAAACAGACTCTTTGCAGTAATGCCTGTTTCTCGAAGTTTCACTCCATTAACAACCTCATCATGAACTGTTGTGAGAACTGTGGGACTTACTGTTACACTAGCTCTGACCTGTTCCATATACTTCAGATGGAAGGACAGTTCCATTACTTAAATAGTTCAAAGAGTATTTTGGCATGTAAGCAGGTAAGAAGAAAGAAATGTCACCTAAACTGAGGACCACTCCATTTGAAATTGACTGCATAGGTCTCAAATGAAAAATTGAAGATTGAGTTCCTTCCATTAATTGATTTGTGAATGGTTTCACTTTAGGAAAATGTTGGGATAAATTTTAATACTATTGGGAACAGTTTTAGTTGGTAAGATGGAAATGAAACAAAAGGCTCCTGATAGTTCCTTCTAGTAAATTCATGATAGGTGCTATATGGAGATTTTCCTCAAGAATCTCAGGGTGAGCATTTTACCTTGAATAAAGGCAAGCAGATGGAAACTTGTTTATAAGCTACAAATAAAGGTAGCAAAAGTAACAGGAGTCTACTGGTGAAACTCAGCCACAAAAGTGTTTTTGTTTTTAATTCCATTTATCACTTTAAACCTAAGCAAGGTTAAGGTAAATCAAGAATGTCACGTTTTTTCTGAATCAGTCATAGAGAGGAAATAAACCAGTGAGAAATAATCTCCTAGTGTTGACAGGACAACCTTGGGTGGATGATCCTGAGCAGAGAAGGTGGCCTGCTTTGGTAGACTGAGATGAACTCAGTGGTCTGAGCCCCTTTTAAGAGGTGGGACTGTCCCAGTATCTTGCTTGTTTAGGTGATGCTTTGAGATGCAACTCTATCCCTGTAAGTTCTTTTTAAAAAACAAGCAACTGAAGATAGGATTCTTAAAAAACCACACACAGTTCACATAAGTCATTTGTGAACCACATATTTTTTATGGCAACTGGCCACACCTGAGAGTCTCATGTCTTGGGACCAGAAATGGGAGAATGGAGGGCATGGAAGCCTTCTTCCAAAGGCAAGAAATGTCATTCCTGATTTTCCTTCTTTATTCCTCACATTCATTAAATAGGTCTTGTCCTGTTTTTAAGAACTTGTATTGAGTGCTTATTCAGCCTGTGTAATGGGGCAGGGCTGACTGGGGTAGCTGTGTTAAAAAGCACCACTTAGGTAGCCCTGGCCAGGGGGCTCAGTTCGTTGGAGCATCACCCTGTTCACCAAAATGTTGCAGGAGACATCCAATCGGTGTTTCTCTCTCTCTCTGAAAATAAGTCATTAAACATATACTGTACTCCAGTGAGAATTTTTTAAAAACAAAAAACAACTCCTAGGCTCTGGAATGTTAGCTCATTTGGTTACAGCATCCTCCAGTATGCCAAGGTCGTGGATAAGATCCTTGGTCAAGTCACATAAAAGAATCAACCAATGAATGCATCAATAAGTCGAACAACAAATTGATGTTTCTCTCAAATCAATAAAAATTTTCAAAAGTTATTTTTTAAAAAGCACCACCTAATACTATGCACAGCATTTAAGATATTGTGTAATAGTGAAAATGGAGAAAACCCAAATTATTAGTGAACTATGACCAAGAATTAGAAAATGTTCACCTCTATGAAACTAAAAATGAGGTGGCTTTTTAAAAAGCAATTGTTTGGTAGAAATGTAATGATCTTGGCTACATCATCTTATAAAGTATATTAAATATTAGCTTTCCCATGTGACTACATAATTTTAAACTATACCCCTGTTGTTGGTTAATGTTAGATATTGGTAAACTGTTAGTGATTTCTCAAAATTAGTATGAATAAAAATTCATACTAATATCCCTGGCTGGTGTGGCTCAGTGGATTGAGCACAGGCTGCGAACCAAAGGGTCACCAGTTCGACTCCCAGTCAGGGCACATGCCGGTTGTGAGCCAGGTCCCCAGTGGGGGCCACGTGAGAGGCAGCCACACATTGATCTTTCTCTCCCTTTCTTCCTTCTTCCCTTCCCTCTCTAAAAATAAATAAATAAAATTTTAAAAAAATTCATACTAATAAAGGATAAAAATACAAATTTTTAAAATTATGCTCTGCTTTTTGTTTCCTTGTTTCTTCTAATACCCTGTTCTTTCACAGAAAAAGAAAATTTGTATAAAGTCTGTTCATTTGTCTTCGTACATTATGCCCCCAAAAGCCATCATGGTTAACTTTGTAAGTCCAGAAATGACAGTTCCTGTTTCACTAGAAAGACTAGGCGATGAACCTCAGTTTCTGTCCTTTTCTTTTGTGCAATCACTGCTTATTGAACACACTGTAGTCTGTCCCTCTTGCTGCTTGAATGCTTCCTTTCAGTGTGCCTGCAGTTTTTACCATGTAAGCTGGCCTAGAAAAAGTGACTCCCTCATCTTGTAAAGTATGTTAAACCCTTTTCTAGTTCCTCCTCAGCACCAACAGAAAGCTTTCCTGAGTTGATGTCCACGTAGGCATTGAGGAACAGCCTACAGTTATAAATATGTTCTTTATTTGTAAATTGGCTTTGATTGTCTGGGATGGTGAACATATTTTATGGCCACTTTCTTCATTGCTTGCATATGTGTTATAATTGCTATTATATATCCAACAAATAATAGTTACCTAATGGAGTGGTCAGTTTCCTGCATTTTAATCTTTGTAACTCATGGTGACACCTTTTCTGGTTTTTAAGAAAGAAAAAGTGTGGCTTCCCTGTCATTAGTTGTAGAGCAATGGTATTGGATGTATTTTTATGATAGTATGTTAATAATTTGTCATATACCTGTAATATATTATTTTAATCTCTAGCAGAAACCAGCCAGAACACTTACATCTGGTCTTTGCAAATCATTGAAGCCCTCAGATGAAATGATTGAGATCACCAATGACTTGGGGAAGACAGAGCTTTTCTGCTCTGTTAATTGTTTCTCTGCTTACAGTAAAGCTAAGATGGAATCTTCTACAGGTAATTACTTGCTTAGTAATCAGAGGTTAGATAACTCCTGAAGAATATTACTGCCTCCTTTAATGCATAACCTTGATTTATTTCCAACTTAGATTTAAAAGTCAAAACCATTAAAAACTTGTTGCAAAAAAATGGTGTCCAGTATTTTTGTATAAAAGGAAGGCTACTTCACCACCAGACGTTTAATGTTTGTAAAGATTGTTGTATTAGAATAGGATCTGGTACTTAGCCCTGCTTTGTTAAAAAAACAAGGCTTTACAATTTTCACATAAAGTAAAGCCAGTTGGAAATAATTTGAAGTTCACTAACAGAAAAGCACAGATAATCCAGGGACAACAATACATTCCCTCAAAGATCCACATATAGGACCAGTGATGCTATTTACACACACAGTGCAGTGAATGATGCCCTTGGGACTTGTACCTCTGCAAACTGGCTTATTACAGAAATCTCTACAAAACTAGCTTAGACAACAACCCAGTTCCATTTGCGTTGAGGTTTGTGATTCTTGAAAGAATTAGAAGTGATGCCTGCTAGGAGATTCTGTAGGACTCTCTTTTCTGTTCTTCATGGCAATTTCACAGATATTTGCTTGAAATTTCAGGCAATTAGTATAAAGGCTGAGAAATTGTATGCAAAGGTAAAATACAAAATGATAGGACATGTAAATTACTGGTTTAATTTTGTTATTGATGTTATCCTCAAGAACCTGGCTTTACCTAAGCCCTAAAAAAATCATTCCAGTACCCAGCAATACCTAGTTATTAGATAATTTGCATTGTTCATTGAAAACACTTGTTATTAAATAGTACTTTCTGATTGATTCTGTCTGGTTTGTAAGAAATCTTTTTATCTTTATTAGTAAATATTTCCATGGTGCATGATACTTCAATGGAGCTTTCTCCAGAGAGGCAGTTTTCTCCAAAGAAAGATACAACTCCAGTTATTAGCAATATAGTGTCGTTGGCAGATACTCCTGCTGACCCGCCCATCATGAACTCTGATGTCTTACAAGGTAAAAATTGATGTGACATTTGACATATATACTGTTTGTCATAATTGATCAATCTGTATTCTAAATGTCCTTTGTGTTGCCTGATATGAAAGAAGCAATTATAGTTTATGATGCTGTTTTATAGATTATAAGATCTTGAATTTATGCTTTAACAGGTACAGTTTCTTCAGAAAGAGGAAATGCCCTATCAGATGTAAGATTTTTTTTTGCTCTTTCTTAAGCTTTTCCTTTGTAAACGTGTGTATCTGAGCATATTATTCCTATTTTGATCCTAGACCTCAAAAAAAATAGAGCAATAAACACCTTTTGGTATTTATATTCAGTTTCCCAAATAGCAAGTTTGACATTGTTATTAATAAGAATATTTAAACAGAAGTATTGCTATCCATAGTTTTTTCCTTTGAGTTATTTTTCTCAATATTTATTAAGCAATTCTACTCACCTGAGTAGAAACATACCAAAAGACCCTTAAGCAGTTAATGTTGAATCTAGATCACAAATAGATAAATTATAAATTGTTAATGTTTCCCCCAGTGGAGCTGACACTGTAACTCACCAAGTGACTTTATTGTGTTATTAGAATAGGTGTGTTTGATATTTTAATTGTTTGGAAACTGTTAAAACAAATATGATTTTCTCACTTTCTACTAAAGGTTTCTAAGAGTTCACCCAGCGAGTCAAGTAGTGGTGTTGCTAATAGTAGTGTGGAACACCCAAGCCTTTTGCCATCTTCATCAGTACTCAGTCAGCATACAATTGGCTCCAGTATAGAAGTACAAAAAGACCAACTGTCAAACCAAGATGCTACACGCAATAAGAAATCTATGAAAATACGTGATAGACTATATCACCCAAAATTTACATCTAAAGTACAGAAAGCTAAAGGTAAATCAAAAAGTATTAAAAAATTTCAGTGTTCAAATTTTCAGAAGGTAGAAACCAGTGTTAAAAAGGATGTGACATTCTGTTACTCATGCCAGTTGTTCTGCCAAAAAAAACATAGCTATGGAGGACAGTCATTTGCAACCCAAGGAATTTCTAATTGGAAAAAAACTCTGAAAAATTTCAGAAAGCATGAAAAAAGTAAAATGCATTTGAAGTCATTGCAGTTTTGGAGGGAATACCAGTTTTGTAATGACACTGTCGATGACAATTCACCTATTCATTCAAAACAGATGGAAGGAAATAAAAAGTACCTAAAGCTTATAATTGAAAATATTTTATTTCTTGGAAAGCAATGTTTACCCTTAAGAGGAAATGACCAGTCTATTTCATCTGCGAATAAAGGCCATTTTTTAGAACTGTTAGAAATCAGAGCAAAAGATAAAGGAGAAGAAATATTTAGACTTATGAGTTCACAAGTTGACTTCTATAATAGTATGCAAATACAAAATGATATTATTGAAATAATAAAGACTGAAATGTTGCATGATATTGTGAATGAGATCAATGTCTCCTCAGCTTTTTCATTAATATGTGATGAGGCAACTTACAGTGACACTAAAGAACAGCTTTCAATTTGTATAAGATACCCACAAAAAACACCAAAGGCTATCTTAATTAAGGAGAGATTCTTGGGTTTCATAGATGTTGAAGAGAGGACTGGCACCAGTTTACACAAGTCTATCACAACTTACCTGCAGCAAATTGGACTTGATTTGAATAAAATACAAGGCCAGGCCTACGATAGTGCCAGTCATTTGAGGATAATATTCAATGAAAGTGCATCGGAATTCAAGAAGGAAGAACCAAGAGCTTTATATGTACATTGTTATGCCCATTTTTTGGATTTAGCAGTAATTAGGTTTTGTAAAGAAGTAAAAGAACTCCGAAGCGCTCTAAATACTCTTGGTTCTTTGTTCAACACTATTCATATGTCTGGGGAAATGTCTGCAAATTTTCAAAAGATTTATAAACTAAGTCAAAACAAAACTTGCAAGAAACATATATCACAATCATGTTGGACAGTCCATGATCATACATTATTATCTGTGATTGAGGGTCTTCCAGAGATTATCGAAACATTGGAAGTTGTATCAAGCCATTCTTCCAACACAAGTTTGGCTGATGAATTGAGTGATTTGTTGACACTGATTTCCAAATTTGAATTTATCTTTTGTTTGAAGTTTCTTTATCGAGTATTAAGTGTTATAGGGATTATTTCCAAAGAGCTTCAAAGTGAAACCATAAACATTTTTTCTTTGTCTTCAAAAATAGAAGCAATTTTGGAATGTTTATCATCTGAAAGAAATGATGTCTGTTTCAAAACTATCTGGGATGGAGCAGAAGAAATATGTCAAAAAATAACCTGTAAAGGTTTTGAAGTTGAAAGACCTTCTTTTCATAAAAGAAGAAAAATTCAGAAAACAATAGATCTTGGCAATTCAGACAGTGTGTTTTTTCCCACCTCAACAGAAGAACAATATAAAATTAATATTTATTACCAAGGATTAGATACTATATTACAGAATTTAAAACTATGTTTTTCAGAATTTGACTATTGCAAAGTGAAGCAAATTTCAGAATTGTTACTTAAGTGGAATGAACCATTAAATGAAGCAACAGCCAGACATGTCCAAGAATTTTATAAATTTGATGCAGACATCATCCCAGAACTTAGATTTTATCGGCAATACGCAAAGCTCAACTTTGTCGTAGATAATGATCATATCAACTTCATCAGTCTTGGCCATTTGTTTATTCAGCATGGTCTTCATAATAATATTCCTTGCATATCAAAGCTATTATATATTGCTTTGTCTTGGCCGGTTACCTCAGCAAGTGTTGAAAACTCATATTCTATACTGCCTCGTCTTAAAACATATTTATGTCATACCATGGGACAAGAGAAGCTTAGTGGCTTGGCCCTAATGGCTGTTGAGCAGGAATTGGTAAATAAACTGCTGGAGCCTGAAAGACTCAATGGAATCGTGGAAAAGTTTGTATGTCAGATAAAAGAAATATAGTACTTGCTAATTTGAATTTACCAGAAAGAATTTTTTATTTCTGTTGGAATTGAACAGCTTTTATTTCAGATTTTTGTCTCTTAGCATTTTTATCTTCAACTTGCCTTTTTCACTTTCCATGGTATTTTTGAGACTGTCCCATGTCAGTACATGAAGAGTTTCTTTTTTTTGTACAATTGCATAAGACTTAACTGTATGGATGTACCATAATATATGGGAATAGTCTCTACCAAACAGACATTTAAATTCTTTTTTGCTACTATAAATAATGCTGCATTTAATAACTTTGCACGTAAGTCAGATAGCACATTAGTAAGATAAAATTTTAAGTTAGAATTACCAGGTCTAAAGATTTGTACATTTTTGATGGGCATGCTGCTTTCTACCAGGATTGTGCCAATTTACAGTCCCACCAACAATATGTGAGAGTCAAGTATTTTTATCTTTACTGATCTGTTAGTCAGATAATAGTATTTTAATCTCTGTGAAGATTAAATCTCAGTGGAATTCTGCACTTTCACTTAAGGATGAGGTTGGGTGTCTGCTTGAGCCATGTGTAACTCTTTACTGTGAATTATAACATTTAAATATTAAAACCAAATATTGCTGTTTTTTTGTGTGAAATAATAGCTGGATGACACAATAGGAATTCTAAACCTACTTTATGAAAGTATAACTTTTTCAGGTAACTCCAAAAGGACTCTTTATCTACCTTTATACTTTAAAAGTTAACAAAGGAAATCTGTTCCTTAAAGATCTGAAAGAATTTAGTGGTAAATATAGCTGTGCCAGGTATCTCTTTCCTTTTGGGGGAAATATTTCTCTGGCACTTTTCTCTTGCTGTTTCTTTCATCAGTTTTTATAATCTATAATTTTTCTAAAAAGAGCATCCATTTCATGGAGGATTTCCTTTCAAATGTATTTGCTTAGAGTTGTAGAAAGTATTCTCAACTTCTTCTATATGCTAATACTTTATTAATCTTTCTGTACATATTTGCTTTCTTGATTACATCGACTAGTGATTTGTTTTCATGCATTCTTAGATTTATCATTTCTACTTTATTTTTTAAATTATGGTTGATTTTACATACAAATACGAAGAACACAGGTAACATTTAATCCTATTAAACCCTAACATTTTTCCATGCTCCCAGATTTTATTCCTGAAATATTATAGATCAAATTAAAGCTCCCTTAAAAATCTTTTCCTGATAACATTTCCTTTTTCTCTAGTGACAATAATTATTTGGTGTTCATCATTCCATGGATGCATAGTTTTATACTTAGCATACAGCCTTGTTTATAAATTTTACATAAAATGGCATAAGTTACATTGCACATATCTTTCTGCAGTTTGCTTTTTTCACTCAAAATGTTTTTTAAGGTTTACATGGATTTTTTTTTCATTTATTTTAACTGCTGAAGAATAAGCCATTATGAGTATACAAGTTCATCCTTTATTTAAATGGATAATATTGTATGGTTTACCACTTTCATTATAATACTCCAAAGATCATTTTTATATGTGGTATGCTCTTGTACATTCAACAAATATCTACTGAGACACTATATACCACACATTATTCAAGGTGCTGGAGTTCCAGCAAGGAATAAAATGAGAACCTGACTCCAATGTAACTTAGCTTTTTAATATAGAAATCTAAGACAGATCCTACAAGATGTTGTTTACTAATTATTTTCATGTAGATAGATGATAATGCAGAAGATAATACTTGTATGCTGTACTAGGCTAGGATAAAAGATGAGACTTTGGGAGCTGTGGCCATTTAAGGCCTTACCCAACCACCCATCCCTGGCACACTAGCTCAGAAGATCTGCTCTAGGGTGTTTCACTAAAAGAGGACTTGACGGGTTGAGTCTGTACATACCTTCCACTTTAATTAGACATTTTTTCATTCCCACCAACAATAACAGAGTGTCTTATTCCATATCCTCGCCATCATCTAGCAGTGTCATTTTACTCTTTCTAAAAAATTCATTGACTTCAACTTTTATTTGTTTTAAAAAACCATGTAGAAAACAGTTAACCTTCCTTGGCCAAGTAGCTCAATTGGTTAGAGCGCAGTCCTGATACGCTAAGTTGCATGTTCCATCCCCAGTCGAAATGTGAACAAAGCAACTAATGAATGCATAAATAAGTGGAACAAGTTGATGTTTCTCTTCCTTCCTCTAATAATTTTTTAAAAAGCAGTTATCTCTACTTTTGAATGCTTACTGCATATATTTTCATTCTTTTCTGTAGCATTATGAATCCTTACACAGAACTTTTCTCTGAAGTTTTTGTCTACCATGTATTTTTCATTTTCATCATTCTAGCTATTTGCAGTTGTGGTTTCTACCTTGTCATGGAAGCAAGAGTTAATTTCAAGAAGCTAGGTTTTTAAAAATTTTTTCAAAAACAATTTTTATAGTCAATAAGCTGTTAATGCAAGACCTAGACCTGAAAAAGGAAACAAAACAGCCACACCTCCTATGTAGGCTAGTACTTTTCTCTGTGCATAATGGTATTTCATTTAGTTCTCACAACCACCTATTACTTTATAGAGGAAATAAAGACAGATATTACAGATCACAATTTGTAATGGTGAAGCTAGAATCTGTATATGCAGGCAGTAATCCCAAAGCCCATTCTCTCAGTCACTCTGCTCTCCTGCCTTTTATACAGACTTAACCACAGACCTTCCTAATTATTAGATTAACTACCATTAGATGCACTACCATTAGTGCATTAAAGAATCAATATGGCAGAAGTAAAAGTGTAGTTTTTCAAAAACTAAAACCCAGGCTCAGCATTTATAACAAATTTTGGTGACAAAGTAACCAGTGGTCCCAAAATAAGATTAGGTAGTGACAAACTCAAAAGCAGATACAAGACCTGAATGACATTGGTTATCTGTATAGGTCATGGAGGGAAAGCAACAAGATGCCTGATGGCCTTCAGAATAGATATCGAAAACCAATAGGTTCCTCCTGGGAAGCATGCAGAGCAGTTTGAAAAGGGCCAAAACAAGAAAGGCCCCTGAAGATGCCAATTTGCAAGTTAAGTTTACGGGGACTGCTAAATTCTGAAGGTGGTTGAGTAGGCTAGGTCCTTACAAACTCTTGAGACCAGCAGGCCTAAGCTTCATGCTAAAACAAAATCCATTTAAGGAGTAGTTGCTGACTATAGATACCAAATTGTGAACAGGGGCAAAGAAGAGACTGCAGATTGAAGTGAGGGAAGAGAAGCAAAAGATCTCAGCAAAAGTAATAGGATGTGGTTGTACAAGAGGCAGTTGATGTTTCCCTCTCCCATCTCTAAAATAAGTAAAATATTTTTTAATCTTTTGTTGTTAAAAACAAAAAGGATTTCACGAGCCTTGAGGCTAGAAAAGTTAGCCAGTTCCTTTCCCTCCTGAAAGGAAAATGGATTTCACATAGCAACAGAAAAGAATTGTGAAATATAATACAAAATTAAAATATAGAACAGTGAATCCTTACACATTTCAATAATGAAAGCTATAAAACTGTTAATAAATCAGAATTAGGAAGCAGATGAGTAGATAAAGATCTGAAAAGTGACAATTCATGGAAATGTTAGAAATTAAAAGGAATAAAAATCACTTTGGAAACTAGAAGGAACTCACATAAACAACTGATCCCTAAAGAAACAACGCAAAGGATGAAAATATTTTTAAAAGACCTATGAAATACTACTTGGCTGTAAAAAAGGAGGAAATCTTATTCTTACCAACAGCATGGAGAGTGTTATGCTAAGTGAAATAAGTCAGAGAATGACAAGTATATATCATATGATTTCCCTTGTATGTGGAATCTAATGAGCAGGATAAAATAGAAACAGACTCAGAGAGAAAACAGTGACAGCTGTCAGAGGGCAGGTATTACAGAGCTGGGTGAAATGAGTAAAGAGATTAACAAAAAACCATCTCAGACACAGTATAAGGATTACCAGAGGCAAAGGTGGGTAGGGGGAGGTAGAAGAGGGTATAGGGAATTCTACACCTGAAACAATTTTCTTAACCAACATCAATCACCCCAATACATTTAATTTAAAAAATATATGTAGCCCTGGCTGGTGTGGCTCAGTGGAATAAGCTCTGGCCTGCAAACCAAAGGGTCGCTGGTTCAATTCCCAGGCTAGGGCACATGCTTGGGTTGCAGGCCAGGTCCCCAGTAGGGGTGCATGAGAAGCAATCACACTGATGTTTCTCTCCCTCTCTCCAAAATAAAATCTTAAAAAAAAAACCCGAAAAACCTGATACCTGTATGTAAAATAAATCCTCAAATCCAAAACAGTGGAAAATGCTGAAAACAATATGGCAGTCCTTGTGGTACTATTACCACTGCTTTGTTAAATTCACAATCCAAAGACTTGACTTTTCTCCTAATACATGAGAAATCTCTGGTTCCAAACAAATAGGTAAATTGAAAGCTGGTCTCCATGAGGCACAAAGTAAAATAATCATAAATTATTAAATACAAAAATTATTCCTCTTTAGGCTTATTATTGCTAAGGGCAAAGTGTTTTTCTACTGTTTAGTCCAAAACTCCCCTGGTTTTTAATCCTCACATGAGGACATGCCTATTGATTTTAGAGAGATGAGGGAAAAGAGAAGTGAAGTATCAGTTTTCTGTCTCCTGTACGGACCCCATCTGGGGCCCAAACCCACAACCAATGCTGAAGTGAACCCTTTCTGTTTGCAGGGTACCCAAAGGAGCCAAACCAGCCAGGGCTCAAAACCCTTTTCTTAGACACACACTGGCTCCCCTTGTTCTTTCAATGTAGTACTGCTTTTCAACCTGTTGGGATTACAACTCCAGCACCGGTCATTTGGGTGTCTTTTTACCTCCATACCACAGGCTGAGACCTCCAAAGCCTTTCTCACTGGCCTCAAGAGTCACCAGTCCATCCTAGCTGGTGTGGCTCAGTGGATTGAGCACTGGCCTGCAAACCAAAGTGTCTCTGGTTCGATTCCCAGTTGGGCACATGCCTGGGTTATGAACCAGGTCCCCTGTGCAAGAGGCAACCACACATTGATGTTTCTCTCCCTTTTTCCCCTCCCCTCCCTTCTCTCTAAAAATCTTTTTTTTTAAAAAGTCATCAGTCCCTTTTCCTTTTAGAAATTGAGACACACCTAATCATTTTATGAAACAGTATTAAGTATTCCAACCATTTCAGCTTAGGCCATCAGCTATTTGAGTGAAATAGCCATCTTAGACAATAGATTATCGACCCCAACAGTCTCGAAGTTTCCAGCTCCAGCCTCCATCTGCCTAGCTGAACCCAGTCAACCATTACTTTGTTGTCCTGAGCCACCAAGCATTAGTTAACACATTGTTGCTGTGCTGAAAATGGATGTGGGCAAGGAATAAGCCAAGTTAGGAGTCCATTTTAATCTCCGTGATTTCAGTGCCTCTTGTTCAAGTGGTTGATGAGAACAAGGGGACGCTCTTAGAATAAGGATCAAAATCCTTAACATGGCCTAGCAGGTGTGTCCAACCTGCAGCCCACAGGTTGTATGCAACCCAGGATGGCTTTGAATAATGGCCCAATACAAAATTGTAAATTTACTTATAATCTTTTTCTCATCAGTTTTCATTAGTGTTTATTTAATGTGTGGCCTGGGCCCAAGATAACTCTTCTTCCAGTGTGGCTCAGAGACACCAGAAGGCTGGACACCCCTGGTAGACCTTCCATGATCTGACCTCTGTTCTGGCCTCTTATTATCCAACTCCCATGGTCTTTAATAAAAACTTAAAAAATTAAATTCACACAACACA